TATAAAGTAAGTAATATTATTCTTCCCGTTTAATAGAGACATAAAGTGAGGTTTAGGGAGAGGGTTGTCAGCGATAGAATGGAGTTCTGTTTGACTTTGGAGTCTATACTATTAACCCCTCTCTTGCAGGAATATTAACAGTTAATGTTTCTTTTTTTCTTTTTTTCTTTTCTTTTTTTTTTTTTTGAGATAGAGTCTCACTCTGTCGCGTAGGCTGGAGTGCAGTGGCGCGATCTCAGCTTACTGCAACTTTTGCCTGTCGGGTTCAAGCAAGTATCCTGCCTCAGCCTCCCAAGTAGCTGGAATTACAGGTGTGGGACACCATGCCTGGCTAATTTTTGTGTTTTTGGCAGAGACGAGATTTCACTGTGTTGGCCAGGCTGGTCTCGAATTCCTGACCTCAAGTGATCCACACGTCTCGGCTTCCCAAAGTGCCGAGATTACAGGCATGAACCACCATGCCCGGCCTTTTTTTCTTTTCTTTTCTTTTTTGAGAGACAGGGTCTTGTTTTATCACCCCGGGTTGGAGTGCAGTGGTGCGATCATAGCTCACTACAGCCTCAACCTCCTAGGCTCAAGCAATCCTCCCACCTCAGTCTTCCAAGTAGCTGGGACTACAGGCATGTGCCACCATTCCTGGCTAATTTTTCAAATTTTTTGTAGAGTCGGTGTCTCACTATGTTACCCAGGCTGGTCTGAAACTCCTGGACTCAAGTGATTCTCCTACTTCAACCTCCCAGAGTTCTGGGATTACAGGCATGAGCCACCATACTCTAATGTTTCTTGAATACTAATTTGCTAGGTCTTAGGAGAACTTTCACAACATCTCTAGATGGTAGATATTGTCCTATTGTTCTCTCCACTTATCAGGTGAGAAAACATTCTCAAGATTTACCTCCCTACAAAAGTGGGTGAGAGCCACGTGAAAAGATGTTCAACATTATGAGCTATTGGGAAATGCAAGTTAAACTACAATGAGATACCATTACACATCTATTGGCACAATAAAAATTTAAAAATAGGGATAATGCCAAATGCTGGTGAGGATGTGGAGGACTGGGATCACTCAATCACTGCTGGTGGCGATTTAAATGTAACAGCCATTCTGAAAAGGATATGTCAGTTTCTTATGAAATTAAATATGTTTGCCATACAACCCAGCAATTATACTCTTGGGTATTTGTCCCAGAGAAACGAAAACTTAATATTCACACGAAAGTCTGTACATGAACGTTCATAGCAGCTTTATTCATAAAAGCCAATAATTGGAAACAATCCAAATGTCCTTCAAAAAGCAAACAGTTAAACAGTGGAACACCCATACTATGAATTGCTAGTCAACAATTAAAAGGAACAAACTATTGATACATGCAACCCTTTGGCTGGATCTCAAGGGAATTATGCTGAGTGAAAGAAAAAGCCAGGCCTGAAACGTTACCTACTGTATGATTCCGTTTCTATGGCATTCTCAAAATTACAAAATTATCAATGAAGACCAGATTAATTATCGCTGCAGATCAGAGAGTAGGGGAGGGAGGCAGGTAGATGTTGCAATAAAAGGACAGTACAAGGGACCTCGTGGTGGTAGATCTTGACTGTGGTGGTGGCCACATCAATCTATGCACATGATAAAACTACATAGAACTAAACACACAAACAAGCTCACATGAGTGCATGTAAAACTGGCAAAATCTAAAGTTGGTGGATGGTATCAATGTCAATTTCCTGGTTGTGATATTGTACTACATTTATGCAAGATGTTACTATGGGGAAAATTGAGTAAAGGGTTCTGTGATCTCTATTATTGCTTTTCTTTGTTTCTTTCTTTCTTTCCTTTTTTTTTTTTTTTTTTTTTTTTTTGAGGCAGAGTCTCACTCTGTTGCCCAGGCTGGAGTGAAGTGGTGCAGTCTTGGCTCACTGCAACCTCTGCCTCCCAAGTTCAAGCGATTCTTCTGCCTCAGCCTCTTGAGTAGCTGGGATGACAGGTGCACGCCAACACTCCTGGCTAATTTTTGTACTTTTAGTAGAGATGGGGTTTCGCCACGTTGGGCAGGCTAGTCTTGAACTCCTGACCTCAAGTGATCTGCCTGCCTCGACCTCCCAACGTGCCTGGATTACAGGCATGAGCCTGATCTGTGATCTCTAGTATTTCTTAAAACTGCGTGTGAATCAACAATTGTCTTAAAATATTAAACATATGTGTGTGTGAGTGTGTGTGTGTGTTTTGGAATGTCAGTGAGGGAAGTGGATGGAGAGGGTGCAAAGGGGAGAAGGTAAGGACTTGCCCAAGTTCACACTGGGTGATGGAGCTACACACTCAGGCTCATAAGTTCTGCTTTGAGCCACCACCCCATCTGATAGAAAACTGCTGACCTTCACTTCTGGAATTTCCCCTTCCTTTCTCCATACGAGCCAAGATTACAAGGCCCTTGGTCCTACTTACACCCAGGATGGGCTATGTGAGCTCTGTACCCATCAGTCCCACAGATAGGAGGGGTCCAAGAAGGCTGGGAGCCACGTCAGGTCTGAGTCCTTTTAGAGGAATTAACACAGACATTGAGAGAGAGAGATGCTGTAGTTCTGAAAAGACCATTGAAACTGAATTTTCCCAGTTGCCGTTTTCCCCACCACATAGAAGTAGTGTGCCTGAGAATAAATTAAACAAGAAAATCAGAGGCCACAGATGGAGGAAGAGAGGCAGAAACCTGATGATGAAACATGAGGATCAACATCTCCTTGTCTGGATATTTTTTCTATATCACCTACCTATATTTATATCTGAAGCACCCACTTCTGGACTTCTTAGGTATATCTCCACCTCCTGGGTTCAAGTGATTCTCTTGAATCGCTTGGTATATCTCAGCCTCCTGACTAGCTGGGACTACAGGTGCACACCACTACATCTGGCTAACTTTTGTATTTTTAATAGAGTTGGGTTTCACCATGTTGGCCAGGGTGGTCTTGAATTCCTGACTTCAGGTGATCCACTTGCCTTGGCCTCTCAAAGTGCTGGGATTACAGATTTCAGCCACCATGCATGGCCCACCCTGCTTGCTATTATGCCTCCTAGCACTCTGTCCACCAGTCCAAGCTCTGCTTAACGACAGGAGTCATTAGTGAATCTATGGCCCTGGAATGCCAAGACCTGGCCAGCTCCCCACATATTTGAGGATTCCAGTCTGGGATTCCCTCTTCAGAGACCCTCTGTGGGGTGCCCTGAGCTCTGTCTGGGGAGAGGGAAAGGGAGGGCATATCCTGACATGGGAGTAACTCCCCTGGGCTGAGGAGTAGCAAGGCACTGATTTACAGACTTCTTTTTTTTTCTTGGAGTCTATTTACCACTTTAGTTGTCAGGCCATCTCCAACATGATTTAAATTGGGAATCTGAATATGTAGATTGTCACCAAGGTTCCGACACTGGCTGTGGGACAGGAGGAAGTCACCTAATCACCAGTGTCCTCACCTGATGCCTGGGATTTGACTCCCACTGATGAAGGCTCACTGTGGGAGCCAGGTGGCCTCTGTCACTAATGACTGAATGAAAACAAAGCATGAAAGAATAGCACTTCACTAAGGTCTTTGGGGAATATTTAAGGGCATGGCTGGGTTCTGGGAGATGCTCTGCAGGTTGAGGAAGAGGGAAGCACAAGGCTTGGTGAGTTTTGAGTAGGTAAGCACCAAAAGGTACACTCAGAGGGACCCATATTTGCACATGTACAGTGACTCTTCTCTTCCCTCTTGTTGATCTTACCAAGGAGGACAACCTTGAGGTCCCCTCCACAAATCATCCCCTGATGCCATATTTAGATGACTATGTCAGGGTTAGAGGTGTGCTTGGTCAGGAGATAAGTCCCATCTTACCCCACTTCACCACTTCTCTCTTCCTCCCTTCATCCTATCCCGTCCCATCTCCCTCCTCTCTCCGCCTATTGGCCACCCCCATCCCTCCTACTTCAACCCAAGGTCCTCTCACTTCGCTCTTCCACTTCCTGTCTGCTCCATTCATTTCTTTTCCATGTCACTGCATTCTGCTCACTTCCCAGCAGCACAGACTCAGAGCAAGACAGGAGTCTTTTGGGATGTCTTGAGCCTGGGCTCTTACAGATTACAAGGTCCATGCTCTTACAGTCAGAGTGGGGCATGTGAGTGCTGAATCCGTCAGTCCCACAAGACTGAGGATGGGTCCAGGAGGGCTGGGAGCCATGTCAGGTCTGAGTCCTTCTACAGGAATTAACACAGACATTGGGAAAGAGAGAGACCCTTTAGTTCTGAAAGGACCATTGAAACAATTTTCTATTATCTAATAGCGATACTCCTCTAATGACCCCTACCCAAACTACAGCATGTGCGAATGATCCAGAAGAGTGGTTCTCAGAATCTCAAACCAAAACAACAGCAGTTACTCTTGCCAGGTGCTGTCCTAAGAACGTTGATTCTTTTAAACGGGTGAGGCAGATACAAATGTTATCTTCATTTTCCAGATGAGCAAACAGAGGCACAGAACGCTAAATAACTTCCAAGGACAAACAGCCAGAGTAGAATAGCTAGAAATTGAACCCTGGTGTCCATGCTTCTGTCCACACTCAGTAGCAATGGTGAATGTCTCTGAGATGGTGAACGGCCCAGGCGTGGTGACTCATGCCTGTAATCCTAGCACTTTGGGAGGCCGAGACGAGTGGATTGCTTGAGGCCAGGAGTTCAAAACCAGCCTGTCCAACATGGTGAAACCCCGTCTCTACTAAAAAAATAAAAAATACAAAAAATTAGCCGGGCGCGGTGACACACGTGTGTAATCTCAGCTACTTGGGAGGCTGAGCCGGCAGAATGGCTTGAATCCGGGAGGTGGAGGGTGCAGTGAGCCGCGATCACGCCACTGCACTTTAGCCTGGGGGACAAGAGTGAAGCTCTATCTCAGAAAAAAAAAAAAAAAAGAGAGAGAGAGAGAGAGAGAGAGTGAACAAAGGCTGTTTTTTGTTTTCTACCTTAACCAAGTATGTGTGATGTTTAAACGTTTGCGGGACAAATGGAACAGGAACGTCTACGTCAGAAAACTTTGCGTCTGCCACTCTCTGTGTTCAGGTGGAACTGTCCTCAACCCAGGCTCCATGGGTGGCCACAGACCAGTTGTCTAGTGAGGACTCATCTCCTCCTGGCCATAGTGACTAATTCAGTGATGGGCACTTGACACAAGCCAGGTCAACAATATTTGATTTGGGAGTTTTGATGGCCTAAGGCAGTTAGACAGCTAGCTACTAGTTGGCCTGGGTCATGCGGTCAGCTCTGAACTAATCACTGTAGGGAAAGGAAGGAAATGGAATAATATTTGTTGATTGGCTAGGCCCAGGCCATGTGCTCAACTCTGAACCAATCAGTGTAGAGAAAGGAAGGAAATGGGATAGTATTTGTTGATTGGCCAGGCCTGGGTCATGTGCTCAGCCCTGAGCCAATCATTGTAAAGAAAGGTAGGAGAAATAATAATGGCCTCCCTGGGGAGGTCCTGGGTTAATGGTCAACTCTATTCAAACTGCATGGACTGAGAGTAGGAGAGGAGCCCATCCCCAAAGAAAAGTTGGGTGTTTACATGCCAGAGGATGAGGGAGTAGATGCTGGGAGCATGGAGACGAGCTGTTACTCCATCACTTCTACCCCCACTCCTGTGGTCCTAGCCTGGGCTTGCCTGGTCTCTTGTGGGTGCTGAGGTCGGAACCTGCCCAGGGTTGGGCCTGCCCCCTCTGGCAGCATCCCGCTTGGAGCTGAGGTTGTTCCCTCAAACGCCACCCTGGCTTTGTCTGAGCTGAGGAGAGCAGGTCACAAATGCCTTGAGGAGCACTCTACCACACTCTCATCTGGCTGGCCTTGGGCAAAACCACCAGAGCTCCCGTACTCAGGTGCCTGCAGGTAAGAGGCAATGATATAATACACGGGAATGTCTTAGAAGCAAAAGTGCGCAATGTGTGGCCGATGAGTTCGCTGACAGCCCTTTTTTTTTTTTTTTTTTTTTTTTTTTTTTTTTTTTTTTTTTTTTTTGACCAGTGCCTGCAGGTAAGAGGCAATGATATAATACACGGGAATGTCTTAGAAGCAAAAGTGCGCAATGTGTGGCCGATGAGTTCGCTGACAGCTTGTTTTTTTTTTTTTTTTTTTTTTTTTTTTTTTTTTAGTATTTTGAGTTTGTGTGGGTTCTGGGGCAGTTTCAAAGATGTGAAAGACTCACTTGGCTAGCAGTAATGTGGAGGAGTTTACTATTTTCAGGTATCTAGCTACTTGTCCCAAGCTTTTCTCCAAGCGGATGATTTTGCGTGAGTTTCATGGGCCACAGGAAACACCTTTCAGGGCGATACTGAGTAATCTTTCCAATTTCGAGTATCCTTTTATACAGCGCTACGACTTGTCATATGTGCGACTGGGCGGGATGACCAGTGGGGGAAGGAATGCTGTCAGGAGACAAAGGATGAATCAGTGTGCTGCTTTGTTCTGGGTGAGTCCCCATCTTCTCATCCTGAACTCTTCATCATTTTGGAATTTATAATATCTACTCATAATTTTTGAAGGATGTGGGCTTTTTAGTAACCACTGTGCTTGGGTCTCTTCTCTATGGCCGCAGGTCCAGATGGATACAAACATTAATAGACTCTTCATAGCAGTTTATTGAACTGGAAGCAGTCTTATTTTGGGGGTGCTGTTGCTAAGCTGGTGTCCCACGATGATGACTTATCATCATCCCCAGATTTGCTGGGCCCAAGAATCTGCATTTTCCCAAACCTTATCCTAGCCTGGTAAAACGTATTCACAGGAGAGGTTGAGTTACTGATTTAGATGCTAAATTTTAGAGGAAAGATTACAAAGTACATAGGCAATGGAAGTTGGAATTTTCACTAGGTGGCTCTGTCTCACAGCTAAGGTTTAGCAGCGCAGACAGCTGCAGTATTTAAGGCTGAATTTAAAGGCTTTAAGCATTGAAAAGATTATGGTGTTCCCCAGACCTGCCAATATTAATGCAGAATAAAAACAAAACTAAAGCATAAAACACAAGTGTACATGTCGAAATAGCTTCCTTCTAGATGTGGATGTGCTAATTGGCAAATGCTGAATACATTTATTGAACCAGAAACAGTCTTATTTTGAGGGTGCCATAGCTTAGCTGGTGTGCCATGATGATGCTTGTTCTGCCTTATAAATATTCTGGCTCTGGCGTCATGCATTCATTCATTTGTTCATGTAACAATGTTTAATGAGGTTGGCACAGCAGTTAACAAAAAGACAAACATCTTTGCTTCTATCGAGCTTACATCCTAGTGGTGGGGAGACAGACAGTAAATAAAGCAAATACAGAAAATATATGGTAAGAGGTGATAAGTGCTCTGGAGAAAAACTAAGGTGGAAAGGGGAATAGAAGTTCCAGAGATGGGAGAGGAGAGATCAAGGAAGGCTTCCTGGAATGTAAGAGTTAAGTCCTGAAAGAAGTGAGTGAGTCCACATGGCCCTGGAAGAAGAGGGTCCAGGCAGAGGGGACAGAAATGTACCTAACCCTGGAGCAGCCAAGATGCAGGACCCCTGATCCTTAGGTGCAAAGCTCTGAGGCTTTCCCCCAAATCCAGAGGAAGCCGTGCTAGGCCATCCCTCTCATCTCCTTGTCAGCAGCAAAATTTGACTTGCTGTCTGTTGCTGGGTGGCTACAGGAGCTGTCACTCAAACTGCCAAGTTACTACATTCTCCTTGTGGGGTCAGGCCAGATCTGTTCGGTGAACACCTGTTAAGCATCACTTCTGTCCCTTAACTTGTCCTGGACACCAGAAGCCGATCAGCAGACTTGACACAGAAAATTAGAATTTGCCAAGTATGAGAGACAGAGAAGGGGCATCTAACCCAGCCTGGGGAGGGGGTGGGAGCAGAGTACCACCTATCTATTTGATGTTCTCTCATCCTACTCCCTCCCAACTCAATGACCTCTTTTTTTTCCAGGTCTCAAAGATACCAAGTCTATTCTCGCTTCAGGGCTTTTGCCGTTCCCGTGCCTTGGAGTTGCTTTCCCCAGATTTTTCCAAAAGTATGTTCTCACCATTCAGGGCTGAGCCAAATGTCTCCTCCTTAGGACAGCCTTTCCAGGCCACTCTCCTGTGTCACCATCACTCTGTGTTGCCTCTTTTATTTCCTTCCTAGTGCCCTCACTGTTTGAGGTCGTTGGTGCTGGTGCTAACACTCTCCCCCATCCTCTCCATGAGACCCAAGATTCAGGTTTTCTTCTTCACTCCACCATGCCCAGGGCCAGACAAATAGGAGGCATTCAAAAAATCTCAATGAGCTGGGCACAGTGACTCACACCTGTAATCCCAGCACTTTGGGAGGCTGAGGCAGGAGGAATGCTTGAGCTCAGGAGGTCGACACTGCAGTGAGCCATGATTGCACCACTGCACTGCAGTCTGAGTGACAGAGTGAGACCCTGTCTCAAAAACAAATAAGTATCAATGAATGGATTTATTTACTGAACAACGGACTGTTGATGCATACTTGAATAACCCACACACTCTGACCAGCTTACCTGTTTAATGCATTCTCGGATACTCTTGCTAGCCATGGATGGCTGTTGACATATATCCTGCAAGACTCAGGGCAACGCAATGGTTAAGAATATGGACTGGGGGCCAGCATGTGGCTCACACCTGTAATGCCAGCACTTTGGGGGCGGGGAGGGGGCAAAATGAGAGGATTGCTTGAATCCAGAAGTTCAAGATCAAACTGGGCAACATAGTGAGACCTTGTCTCTACAAACAATACAAAAAAATTAGCTGGACTCAGTGGCACACACCTGTAGTCCCAGATGCTTGGGAGGCTGAGGAAGGAGGATCACATGAGCCCAGGAGTTCAAAGCTACAGTGAACTTTGATTGTGCCACTGCACTCCAGCCTGGGTGACAGAGACTTTGTCTCTAAAAAATAAAAAAAGGGAGAGAATATGAATATGGATTCGGGATGTAGATTGACTTGCTTGGATCTCTGGCCCTGTCACTTTCAACTGAGTACGCTGGGCAAATTAATTAGCTTCTCTGAGCTGTTTCCCTACATGAGTAAAGGATGCATTCAGTAAGCAGCAGCCATTGTTATTCCGGCCAAACAATGGTTACCAGGCTTCTCTGTCTAGGAGAGTTGCTTGTGCCACCTTCTTCCTGAGTTGAGAGCCCCATCCCAGACTGGATCCCCAGAGACCCTGGAAAAGAAACTGACAAAAAACTGACAAAATGCAAAGTGCAAACTCAGTGACTGTGCCCCTGGGGACACTGAGTTAATGATCCAGGGACAGTTAATGAGCTTCCTCCTTTGCTCTCTCACATTGCAGGTGGCATGGCAGCTTTCCAGACCCACCCACTGCCTCCACACCTGCCCCCTCTGCATGCAATTGCTTTGCAGTGTCCTAAAAAGCTAACCAAGCTGAAATCACCTCTGCCATGGCTGTAACACTCCTGCACTATTATTCAGTGTTCTCTGAGGCCCCTGCCTCCTACCCCTTTCCATCTGTTGGGATCAATTGAAGGACTCGGCAATGATAACTGCTGAGATGGTCTCTTCAGTACTGAGTGTCTGGCCTTGCTCAGGGTTGGGGACAGAAGGAGGCGGCCCTGGAGAGCTTGCTTTGGTTGTGAATTCCTGCGGCCTCCCTTATGACCCCTAAGCATTCTTCCTGGGTACTTCCTGAGGTGGCTCATGTATTATAGTCACAATTACATTATGATTTAGTAAATGCCATCAGTGATTTCCCCTGGAGAGGTCGTGGGCCATGGTGGCTTAGGCCACAGCCTGGGGATCGTGTTGCCTGTGTTGAAATCCTGGCTTCATCATTTGACAACAGTGAAATCTCAACCCAAAGTATGTTAGCTTTTAGATTTCACACAACCTGCTTCCTGGGAGCCAGGCATTGTTGATAAACCCTCCAGCTAATAATAATAATCATAATAGTAATAGCAGCTATTATTTATTGAGAGCCAAGAAGTTCTCCTTGACTGATTCACAGATCTCCAGAAGACAGACATGTTAATTAATGGATAACTTTTGTGGGTGGGCAGGGCTCTGCTTCAGGTCATATTGGACATCCCCAGGCACTGTTTGCATGGGTGAGTTGCATGAGGGCAAAGGAACTGTAATGAAGATATTTTAAGGGTTCATTTCTAGGCTCAGAGAAAAGAGCGTGGCATGTCCCCTGCTCCATGGATCAGCGGGCTGTGAGTGTGAGTGACAGAAGCACATTCTTCTCATTTCCGGTAACTTTGGCTACATTTCTGTGTGATGCTTTTGGTGCTCCCCACCACGTCTCCTCGGCCCTTGTCAGATTTCAGCAGCAGCCCTGGTGGACAGCCCTCCTGTACGCTGACAGCATCCCACCTCCAGTGCCTGCCTTCTCTTTCTACTTTTCTGCCCTCAGGCCGGTAGGGGAGTTAATCCCCCAGGCAGAAGCAATGGAGCATTGGAGTCAGTGGGTAAATGTCCCAGCCTCCTGTCCATCAGAGGGACAGTTCCTCAGTGTCCATAGTAGAATTGGGTCCTAGTTGTCCACAGTGATAATCAGGCCAATAACCCACAATTTAATGGCTTTTTCTTTTTCCATTTTGCTCTCTCTGCTTCCTCACTTTTATTTCTTGGGATCACTTCTTAAATCAACTATCAGGACCCAAATCCTTGCTTCTGGATCTGCTCTCAAGCTAAGAAGGTCACTCTCAAGCTAACTCTCAAGCTAAGAAGGTCACTGTCAAGCTAAGAAGGTCACTGTCAAGCTAAGAAAGTCGCTCTTAAGCTAAGAAGCCCAAGGGGACAGACCACTGGCCAGGGCAGCGCTGTCCCTACTGATTGCCACAGTGCAAGGGCTAGTCACAGGGGACGTGGTACTTGTTGGTCTTCAAACACCTGTGAAATGGCCTCCAGAGACTTTCAGCAAAACTTGAGTGGTGCTGTGGGAGAGACTCTTTTCTGCCCCCTAAAATTTATTCTTTCCTTTTAGGATTCCACAGGCTGCCCAATGGAAAGTACATTTCCCAGCCTCCCTTGCAGCTAGGGCAGCCATGCACTTGTCAATGGAATGTGAGTGGAAGTGATGAGTTATTTACTTAAAAGGAAGTTGCTTGGCCTCTATTTCTTCATTCCCCCTCCCTGGGGGCTGGAATTGGAGTTGCTGGTGGTGGTGCTGAGCTCTGACAAGAACACTTCAGGGGCAGATGGAGCAGCATGGTAGAAGGAACCTGGCACCCTGAGTGACACTGTGGATCAGAGCTGCCTCCCTTCTCAGGACCACCATGCATCTATGGGGTGTTACCTGAGGGAGAAATAAACTTTTATTCTGCTTGAACTGTTATTTATTTGAATCTCTCTGTTCCAGCAACTTATGCAGTGCCCTGGACTAATAGAGTTAATAGGAAGGGATCTGAACAAGTAAATTATGGGTATAAATGCTTATGTGACCTCATTTTGTGTCCTGAGGCCCAGGGACATTCAGGTTGCATATCTGTGTTGAGGTGTCTCAAGCACTATAGAGCACCTGAGAGTCAGGAAAGCTCCTGGGGCACTACAGAAACCCAGGGCCCTCTCTGACTTGTCACAGACCTCAGTGGCTCCCTTAGCCTATATCACCTATCATGTAACATGTTTGCTTCTATGTCTGTATTAGGCTGTTCTTGCATTACTATAAAGAAATACCTGAGGCTGGGCATGGTGGATCATGCTTGTAATCCCAGCACTTTGGGAGGCTGAAGCTAGTGGATCACCTGAGGTCAGCAGTTCGAGACCAGCCTGGCTAACATGGTGAAACCCTGCCTCTACAAAAAATACAAAAAAAAAATTAGCTGGGTGTGGTGGTGGGCACCTGTAAACCCTGCCACTGGGGAGGCTGAGGTGGGAGAATTGCTTGAACCTGGGAGGCGGAGGTTGCAATGAGCCAAGATCTCGCTATTGCACTCCAGTCTGGGCAACAAGAGCAATAAATAAATAAATAAATAACAAAAAAAGCAAACTGAGACTGAGTAATTGAGTAATTTATTTAAAAAAGAGGTTTAATTGGCTCATGGTTCTGCAGGCTGTATGGGAAGCATAGCAACATCTTCTTCTGGGAAACCTCCAGAAGCTTCCAATTATGGCAGAAGGCAAAGGGGGAGCAGGCAAGGGGGGAGCAGGCATGTCACCTGGCAAAAGCAGGAGCAAGAGAAAAAGAGTTGGGGGAGCAGTGCCACACACTTTTGCGCAGCCAGATCTTGCGAGAACGCACTCACTATCACAAGGACATCACCAGCAGATGGTGCTAAACCATTCGTAAGAAATTCACCCCATGATCCACTCACCTCCTACCAGGCCTTACCTCCAATACTGGGAGTTATATTTCAATATGAGATTTGGGTGAGGACAGACATACAAACTATATCAGTGTCCTTTCCTCCCAGGCTTGGCTACACATTGTTGCCCAGGTTGTCTTGTGTGGAAAAGGCTTATAAATGAATACTCAGTCACCTTTGAGGATCTGGGATCCACAACAGATGGGCAGCAAGTATGGAACAAACATGCCCTGGCTTGTGTCATCTCATCTTTGTTCTCCAGAGGTGGGCAGTTTTTCACCTCTTGATCATCCTAAATCTCTTTCTCTATTAAACAAAACCTGGTGATAATAATTTGTATTATTAGTTTTCTATTGCAGCGTAACAAGTTACCACAAACTTATTGGCACTCACTCAGTGTCTCCAAGTTCTGTAGCTCGTATGTTGGCATGGGTACGGCTGGATTCTCTACTTAGGGTCTCACAAGGCTGAAATCAAGGTGTCAGCCAGGCTAGGCTCCCATCTGGAGGCTCTGAGGAAGAATTTACTTCCAAGTTCATCCCTTAAAAAACTTTTTTTTTTTTTTTTAGGAGACCCAGTCTTGATCTCTTGTCCAGGCTGGAGTGCAGTGGTATGATCAAAGCTCATTGCAGCCTTGAACTTCTGGGTTCAAGCAATCCTCCCACCTCAGCCTTCCAAGTGTCTAGGACTACAGGCATGCACCACCATGCCTCGCTAATTTTTAAAATTTTTTGTAAAGATGGGGTCTCACTATGATGCCCAAGCTGGTCAGGGACTTCTGGACTCAAACAATCCTTCTGTCTCGGCCTCCTGAGTAGATGGGATTATAGTGTGAATCATTATGCCCAGCCAAGCTCATTCTTATTATTGGCAGAATTCAGTAACTTGTGACTGTAGGGCTGAGGTCCTGGTTTCCCTGCTGGCTGTGGGCTGGAGTCACCCTTATCTCACAGATGACATTCCCTGGTCCTTACACATGGCCCCTCTATATACCAAGCCAGCAATGGTACCTTCAGTCTTTCTCATCTTTCAAATCTCTCTGACTCACCCTTCTGCTGCCAA